GAAAGAATAACTCGATTTTCGTATTAACAGGGATGGAGCGGTTTTAATTTTTTCGAATATGAAAATCGTTTCACGAATATCGAATTGTAATTATAATGTAATAGTTAGGTCCCGAAGTTCGGTTTTCCTTCTTCTCGAATTCTTACTCTCCGATTTTTTTCCTTTTCTTAATTTTCGCTTTTCTATTTTCTAAAATTCTGTTACTAAATTATTTAAAATAACTAAAAATTGCTAAAAAAATAAATTTTTTTTTTGAAATTTTTTAGTTTTAATGCAAAAAACAATGAAAATTTTACTTAAAGTCTATAAAGAATATTTTAATAATAAAAATAAACTTTGTAAACAAAAGAATTGAATATAAGAAGTACCGTTATGGTATCGTAATAAAAAAAGTTTTTTTTTATTAAGAAATAGTAAAATTGTTTTTTTTTTTTTTTATTTTCTGTTTCGATTTTTTAATTTTCTTTCATTTTGTAAAAATTGGACGTTTTAATTAGGTTTAAAAATTAATTATTTTTTTCTATTATTTTTTTTTTTATTTTTTGCAATTTATAATTTTATTGTTCATTGTTTTGTAATTTAAATTTTTAAATTTTTATTTTTACAAAACTTTAACCTGACCTTATTAATTTTTTTTTAGAACCCTTATTATGATTGACGAATCGAATAAACTAGTCGAATCGAACGATATTTCAAATTAAGATCTACGAATGGATTTGATTGCCAGTTCTAAAACGCTGCTAGCTCAAGTCATTAAAAAAAGACGTTATCATAACCTAAAAATAGTTTGTTATGATAAAATCAAAAATTTATTCATTTTGACTTTTATTTTCATTCGACAAGTTTGTCACACAGAATTTTTTACTCGAGAGTTTTGACAGCTCATTCGCTTTTTATTTTGGCGAATTTACCGATCGTAATACTTAATATTCGCCAAAAATGTTTGTCGCATCGCCGATCATAATAGGGGCAAAATTATGGTTAAATTTTGGATTTAGTTGCTGTTTTTTTTTTCTTCATTTGGTTTCATCATTTTGGTTTTATATATTTTTTTTTTTTTGTTAAATTAATCTTAATTCTAAAACTTGGTTTAGTTTGTTTTTTGAAATTTTTTCTGCAGTTTTTCTTTTGTTTTTTTTTTTATGTTAATCTTTGTAGAATTTCAATTTTTTTTTCAGAAAATTATAATCGTTTATTTCAGTCTATTTTAACTATTTTGTATAATGTTTTTTGTTTTATAATGCTTAATTTTTTTTAATTTTTCATTTCAATTTTTTTTAAATTTTTCAATAATTCCCTTGTTTTTTTTTAATACTATCAATTCAAATATTTGTTTTTTTAATTTTAGATGAAGTCAAGTGATTATTAAATGTAAATGAAATTAAAATATTGTAAACTAGTTTTTGTTTTTTTAAAAAATATATGAAAAAAATAGAAAATAAAATTATAATTTATTTTAATACTTGTTTTTTTTTTTTCAATGTAAATTTCAATATTTCATTTTAATTTAAATATTACAATTATTTTGTATGATTTTGTTTAATTATTTTAAATATTAAAATTTAAAATAAATAATAATGTTTAATATTCTTATATTTATTTATTTATTTACAAAACTAAAATATCTATACTTACAATTTAATTATTAATTATAAATATATAGAAAAACAAACAGGTTTTTGATTTTTTTGTTCTTTTGGCAAAAATATATAATTTTTTTTATACATAATTAATTATAAATTATTATTTAAATTATTTTTCTTTTTATGAAAATTTATTAAATATATAAGAATATAATATATAATAATTTTATGTATAATTGTATGTATATTCTGAATTTTAATATTATTCTATATAAGTAGTTTATTTAATTAAATTATTATTATATTTACAATTTGAAATGTTTATATTTGAAAAAAAAAATTAAATTAAAAAAAAAATAAAAAGAAAATTTTCTAAATAAGCACATTTTTTTCCAAAAATTGTGATGGAAATTGTGCTATAAAAATGTGAAGATGAATAAATAATATTGACGTCCAAATTTGATTTTGAGAGAAATTTTTAACATTAAGAGAATGAAAATTTGATGAGGAATATCTATATTACTGTAGAATAATTTGTAGTTATGAACTTGTAAAATTAAGTTATGAATTACATTTTGGTATTATTACACTTTATAATTGAATATTTTAATATAAGGAAGCACTTTATTAAAATCAACTAATTTAAAAGACTAAATTTGTATATTATAAACTTTTCCTGAAAATGTGTGAAATATGAAATTATATATGCAATAGTAACATTTTAAGTAGCAGTTTAAACTAAATCCATATGGAAATCTATCAAAATCCAGATCTAAAATTGCCATTGACTTATTAAGTTTTAATAATACAATTTTATTTGCTAAATGAGTCAAATTAACGTTAGATCTACATTTTGGTATACACTCTCTATATACTTCATATTGTTTTTTTTCCTTTGCATTTAATTTTAAAAATTGTATAATTGGCAGTGTTAGAAATTTTATTTAATTAGTAAATAGTAACTATTATATAATATTCTAATAAATGCATATTGCTTTTTATATGGAAAACTTAAATAATAATTAATAATTAAAATAAAACAACTTATTTGTTAACAACATAATTAATTAAAATTATTAAAATTATAATAGATTAATTAAAATTATAATAGATTGTGATTTTTTGAAATATTTTGAATATATATGTATGAAATAAATTGAATTAAGGTACCTATCTATAATATTGGGGTACAGTTGAAATAGCATTTTAAAATGGTGGACGCCAATATAATTTATTTAAAATAAATATGGTTAAATATTGTGCTAGTTATAAAATTTTGTAAACTGTTACGTTGGAAAACAGTGTATATTCTCTTTCAATTTATCACATTTTTTAATACGAAAATTATAAATTAAAAAAGAAATTAGATAGAAGGAGAAAACAAAATAGTATTCAAACCTACGTGGTTCCTTAAATTTATAAAATACAAATTTGTGGTAATTTTTATTGAAAAGAAAAATGTAAATATATCTGAACTGGTTATAATCGATTATACTGATTGTATTCCGTTTTCAAAATCAATCGACAAAAATGATACAAAAACCCAAATATCGAAACGGTCGCTAAAAAGCACGGCCTGAATTACTTAATTTTAGATATATTTTAGGAAAAATGAAACTTTTAAGAAAATCAATTCGTGACCATTATAAGTATCAGAAATATTTGGCTAGAAAATTCCGTAATACGAGTATTTTAATTTTAAGTTAGATAAGCCTTCTTAAGTTCACGACTCCCTAACATTTTAATTTTTGATATGACGTGTGAAGTATTTCTAGCATTTCTAATTCATTTTGGCATTAAAAAATATTTGTGTCCTTTTTTTTTAAATTTTATTATTCTATTTTCCATTTTTAGTTTTTTAATTTAAATTTTTTTGTTGTTTTGGACTTTTGGAGTTTTATCTTACGAAAAAGGTTTTGCTTTTACATGAAATTTTTGTATTAACATTTTCTTTATTAAAATTAAAAATATACAATTTTTTTGTTTTTGTGTAGAACAATTAACGTACAGGTAAAGATATAATATGTCCCTATATATATATTTGTATGTATATATATATATTGTATATATAATTAGTAATTATATAATACGATAACGATTTTTCAGATATACTACAATTGGAAAAAGATTAAAAATTAATTTGTAAATGTGTAAAAATTTATTCTTCTTTTCAAATTGGGGATTCTTTTCAAATTGGCAAAAATTTGAAAAAGGTTTCTTGAAAATATGGAAATTTTTTTTTTATTACAACAAAACCGTTACTGTTAATTAGTTGGAACTGGTTGAATAGTAGGAACTGATTGAAAAGTTGCAACTTATTGAGGGATTGAAACTGATAGTATGATAACAGTATTCAAGCACAATTTTGTTTTGGACGTAAAATATCATTAGCTGTCAATTTTCTATTAAAATGTAGTAGAATGGCAATAAGTGCCAACACTTTTTGTACAATTAGAATTTTAAACACTTTTGTCATTTTTTAAATTGCAATTCATATCATTTGCTATTTCACTCTTCTAAGAAGCAGACGTATGATTTGAAGTCTAGTAATTTTTTAATTTATTTAGAATCACTGTAGTTTATCAAGTTCGAGTTTCAATAAATAAAAGGTTTTTGCAATATATTTCTTACAGTAGCGAATATAAAAATGAAAGTTAATGAAAGGGATATAAAAGGTATATGTATGTATAATTATGGTTGAATGCGTCTATACATAATAATTATATATGTTTGAAATATTGAATTAATTTTTATAATGATTGAAAAGTGTGGAGAAGAATGTTTTTTTTTTGTTTTTTAATTTTGTATATAGGATAATATTGTTAGAAAAATTTTTACAGTTAAATTTAAAATTTACAGTTTTTGTTTGTTTTTTTTTTCTTTTTTTTTTTTAGGAAAAAATTATTAAGTTCATGTATAAATAGCTTAAATTCAATTTAATTATTCTATACAAAAATGTAAACGGAAGAGTATACGGTATATAGAAAATTGTTGTTTTTATTTTTTGGCTGTAGTTTTTAATAAAATTTTCTTACTACAGTTTCTGGGGGGCGGGGGAGCATTGCTTGATATACAAACTATTGTAATAAAAATTTTTATATAATGTTGTTGTTGCAATTGTATATAGGAACAAAAATAACTTCTTTTTTTTTATCTTCTGCTTTTTTTTTTTAAATATTGCAATTAATGTAATAATATATGGATGTATATATGTATATATAATATAAAATTGTATAAACATTTTTGATTTGATTTCTTTTGCTTATTTATAATACAAGTTGGTTTTCTTTTTCTTTCTACTCTTAGATTTTCTTTAATTTATATTTAAATCTAACTATATAATTTAATTATTAATTAATTTTTATATACATTTAATATCTAAATATTTTTATTATAAATATTTATAGGTATTTTTTTAAATATAATATATATGTAGATATATTTATAATATAATTATAGATGTGAAAATTTGAAAAATAAAAATTTAATCCTTAACATTTATTAGAGATATATATTGTTGTTTATATTTGGGTTTATCATTTTATAACAGTTTGTTTTTTTTTTTTTATTTTTAAATAAGGTTTCCTGTAATATTGCTTATTGCTTTGATTGTATTTGATTCTGTAATTAAAAAAAAAAATTAAATATAAATTAATATTTTCGAAATTTATCTTAAATTTTTTGTAATGCAAAAGTATAAATTTTTTGTAAACATTGTAGGTTTTTATTTTTCTGAAACATAAACTTACATAAACAAATGAATCTGCTTGTGATTCTTGGGGTGAATAACCACTTTGGTAGCCGGGACTAGGTGATTCAGCATTTTCTGGAACTGGGGTTATATTGGCATAGTTGACTGTACACGATAGTAAACCTCTTATTTGTGCGGCTTGATTTGTATGAACTTTAACAGTGTCACCTGCTTGAGTTAAAGCTATTAAAGAACGATCAATATTTTGATATTCTTTTCCTGAACGTGGTCGCAATGTTGATGTAGCTTGTCTCAGTAATCTGTTAATTTTTAAAACAAATTTAAATGATTTAGTATGAATATTTAAAATGTTATTTTTTGATGGACAAATTTATATAATATTTATGAAATGAATTTTACCTTAAATTTTCAGGTGCATCTGATGAACTATGACTAGAAAGTGAAAGCGTTTCAATATAATCGGACATATCAGATGTTCCACTACTCGTACTTCTAGAATCAACATATGGTGGAGCTGCAGTAGAATTACCTTCACATGGACTGCCATATCCTCTTTGCTTAGCTGATAAAACTGGAACTTCAGCTTCAGCTGATGTACTTTTCCCAGGAATTTCAACTTTTTGGAATTGAAATGATATTTCTCGTAATGGATCAAATGATTTTGAACGGCGTGGTAGCGTTGCATGAACACATGCAGAAACTGGTTGAACTTGTCTTTGATGTCTTCGTGCTGACATTGCTGTTGTCAGTGGTAGTTCAAAATCGTGGAAATCACCAACTCTGTGGCGTAGTGAGCCTGTTGAAACACCAGAATCATTCGAACTTGATGAATCTCGATTTTGTGCTTTGCATGGAACACTGGCAGATCGCCTTATATGAACGGATTGGGAAACTTGACTAGTTGATGTTGATGTAACACTCGTTTCATCTTCAGTTTCTGTCGCATTTGGTTTACTTGTTTGTGGAGGGAAGCAAACTTGTTCAACACATTGTTCCATTTCTTGGTGTAGACAAGGCGAAGAGGATCTACGTCCAGAATTTATTTGTGTTAAGGAGGATTTTCTTAGAGTTTCTGAGCTGTCAAAATCTTCAACATCTTCTAAAAATCTTGATGAATCAGCTGAGGATGAGCGTTTTCGGCTTGCCAGCCTCTTATCAATTGAAGGTAATAAATCACTACTATCCATAATTTGTTTACGGTTGTATGGACTGCTTCCGGTTCGATGGAGGAGCATCATTGCGCTACCTGGTATTCGATTAGGATCATTTCGTTTTCTACTTCTATCAACGGTAGGCCCTGATAAGGTAGGATTGCTTGCGGATTTTTCTCCAATAATTCGTTTCAGCAATTCACTTTTACTTGGCAAGGGTGGTGCCATCGTACATCCTGTATTATTACCACAGTTACCGCTATTATTGCTATTATTATTATTGCTATTGGTGTTTCCACTAGTCGTTGATTGCGCATTTAATGCTGCGGCTGCTGAAGGAGCTGGAGACATAGGAAGATAACCAGGGAATTTCGTTGACGTATCGTTTTTATCCGGATCTAATTTTAGATATTCTATTTGCAATGAAGCAGTACCTTCTGACGAATCTATAGTTGAAGGTGTGTGAAGTTGTGAAGACGATTCAAAACCAGTAGGCGTTTTATCTTGTTTTGGGTCAGGGGTTTTTGCTGAATGCCCGCATTTCTGGCAGAAATCTTGATTCTCTCTCATTCTCAACTGTTCTATTTCTTGTAGAGTTATTCCAGCTTTTTGGAGCATTTCTTTTGAGTTTTCGTAATTTTCTAAAGAATGAGCAAAATCTAAATTTGTATAATTTGCTACGTTATTGCTTAATTCAGTTTTAATTTCAACAGAATCACTAGCTTTCTTATTTACAGCAGCAATAGCGGTAGTAACTAATTCTGGTAATACATGACCAGGATCTAAATTAATATAATTTGAAGAGCTTGTTTCGGAACTACCATCATCCATTGCACAACCATTGCTATTTTCTTTTGGACAATTACATACATGGTCAGACGTACTACCTTGTCGATTTGATTTTTTAGAGAAATCAACTTGAGCATATATTGCCAATTCTCCACTCGGTTGCATAACAGGCATTTTACCCTCACCACTTAATTTTACTCTATTAATAGGTACACCAGTTTGTTCTATTCCATTGCCGCGTCTACAATATGGTATTGAGATCCAATTATCTGCCCATGACATAACACGATTGCAAGCGCAATCAGCGCGTCCGCTACTAACACCATCTGTAATACTATTTCCACTTTCCTTATTTGCTTTTAATGTTCCATTATTGCTAGAGGGATTGGTTTGATTATTACTATTGGTTGAACCTAAGCAGCCACACATTTGTGCTGGCATGTCGTAGTTCCCGTATTTATCTGGTCCATCACAAACTAATGATGATTGTTGTTGTATTTGAGAATTACTGTTCATGTCTTCATTTAAATACTCTTGAATATTTTTTGGTGTATCATAATTTTCTGCTGCGCTAATTTGACCACCAGTTAAACTATTTACGCTATTCGTCGAATTTAAATTTGTTGATTTAGGTATATCATAATTTTCATAAGGACCTATATGATTTATATTGGTGGGTTGTGTTGTTATACATTTTTGATGTTGTTGTTGTTGCTGTAAACTCATTATTGTATGGTGGGTATGTAATGGATTTACAATCGGTAAAGGCATTGGTGGTTTTTGATTTTGACCTTTATTACAATTTGAGTTTAATAAACCTTTTGATGGTGGACAATTTTGGCATGATAGATGATTATTTGAGCAAAACTGATTAGCTGGTATTGATTCGTATGATGATTCAGCATAAGTTGATGCAGTTAAATTTGTTGTCATTCGCGGTACTGAATATTCTGATCCTCCGCTACTACCATAACCACCACTACTACCATGTGATGAACATATTGACATTCTATCAACACCATTAACAACATTTACAGTACTTATATTACTTGTGTTATTACCACTAACAAGAGCGCTATTTGTGTTAATAGTTGCTATTGTTTTTACAGTTAAATTATTTTGATTGTTTTGCTCTGTTAATATTTGCCATAATGGTTGTTGATTACCACCTGGTGTTGCATTACCTGTCGCCGTTGAACTACGAGACATTGATGGTGCACCTAATTTTGATATACAACTCATACAACGTTCTATTGCTTTACCAGTCCTTTAATGAAATTGTAAAAAGAAGTAATTTTGTTGAAAAACGTAAAAAATAGAGTTTAACAGCATTTTTTTTTATTTTATATGAAAAATTACAACGTAATAAAAAATTTTACAATATGTATTTGACTTCATTGTTGTTATTGTTCTAGGTATAACAAAAAAATTCCATATATTATGTACTCACTTTGGGAACATCTCTGCATCATTAAAACTATCATGACATTCTGATACTGAATTTGTATCACCACAACCGTAATCAATATCACGTGATTCCTGTGACGGCCAATATGGTGTTCTGGAACCGCATGTACAATTTGATGAATCATCGATATGACATGAAAAATTATCATCAATACCATCTAATGGACGAGGTGATAGGATTTTTCTGGGACTATCTACTATATTATAAAAAAGAGAACAAGAAAAGAGAGAAAAAAAAATTTAACATTTCAATGTAATTTTCTGATTCCTTCATTTTATTTATGATATTTTAATCGATTTTTTTCCACAAAATTTAACTTAGGTAATATTAAATGAAAATTAAATTGTATAGACAATGTATTTTAAGATATTTTTATTTTTTTTTAGCTGAAACAGGTTCAACTTACTTGCTAATTTTCTGGCCATCTGTCGTTTTTTAGTTGATAATCTACCTTGTGATGCTAATTTTAATGTTTGTGTTATATCATCACCTTGATCTGTTATAAAAACGTATAAACCTTCACCTTTACCACATCTGGAACCACCCTCAAAACAGAATCGATTATCCACAACACCATACCGTCTAAAGAACCGGAGAAAAAACAAACACGTGCAAAAAATTATTTTTAAATTTCAAAAAAAAATTACATGGAAAAAATTCAATAAATTCAAAACAAAAGGATTTAGAAAAACTTGTACAATAGATAAAAGGATCAAGGATGAAAAATTTTTTAAATAATAAGAAGTAAAAAAAACAAAGAGAAAAATTAGGTAAACACCGAAAAATTAATTTTTAGGGATAACAATTTGGGATCAAGATTAATAGGCATATTATAAAAAAAAGTTAAAGGCATCCGGAACATGAAAATTGCGATAGGATATGAGGCTATTTTTTCTCAAGTTTTATTTATTTTTAAGGATATTATTTGAATACTAAAATACCGGAAGAGGATCTTTTTTAATTGGAGAATGCGGGTCTTTAAATTTAATTTCATTTGTTTTTTTTCCTCTAAAAACTCTTCAAAACAATTTAATTTTATTTACCAGCTCAAAAATTTTCGGAAAAAACTCTTTATATTTTTAATTTTATAGCAATATGGTTGACTTTAATTGATGTAGTACTTTAGCTATTTTATATAACAGTTGAAATTAATAACAATTTAGATAAGAAATTAAATATCTGTTTATTGGCTTGCTGGTATTAACATATTATCGTATTTTGCATAGAGTTTGATATAAAGTATATTCTTCTACACATTACTTTTAAAATGATTATATTTTAGACTTGAATATATGTATTATTTGATTTTGGAAAGCATAGATTTTATATAAAATGTAATTTTATATAAACAATTCTCACCTTAAATAACCAATATCCCATAAGCCAGCTAATTTTGGTGGAACACCAGTTGTTAAACAAAATCTATTATCTTGTATATGCATTCTTGATGGACCTGTTTGCATTTTTGATTTCGGTGGTGCTGATGATACTAATACTAAATATTGTATGTCATCACCCAGATGATTTGCTATCTTCACCTAGATTTTTTTTTTGTAGAAAAAACAAAGAACAAAAATATAGTTTGTTTAATAAATAATATTATTTTATTATAAAAATTGTCATATATGTAGCCTGAAAGTTGTTAAAATAATTTTATAAACTTAGCGAGTAGTAATATCAACAATTTTCAAAAATTATTATTCTTTAGAAATATCTGCATAATATTTCAATTAAAATTAATTTTCGTTAATGTTTTAAGTTTCAATAATGTTCTAAATTTATAAGTTGTTTGATTATTAATATCCGGAAAGAATAGTTTTGTTTGTAATATATCGTACTAGATATTTATTGTAATTTCTAATTATAAAAGTGATAATTTTGCCTTTAACAATATTAAATTATGACAGCAATATTATTTAATATTAGATTAGAAAACTTGTATACACAGACTAGGTATAAACAACATTTTTACAATATTTATAGATATAGATAATATTTTGTATCTTTAAAATAATACTTGCATCTTCCATTTTGACGATAATAGTTCAATACAGAATAAATCCTATATTTATAAGATATGCAAAGGACCTTTTATTTTTCACAAAATCAAAAAAATAAAAGATTTAATCAATTAAAATTGTAAGCTTGGCAATATACATATAAACAATAACATGGCAATGTGTATCAATGTAAATGTTCTTATTTTTCATAATATTTTATTTAATTTATCGTCAGAAATGGATGAGTAATTTTAAAAGAATGTTAATAAGAACAAAGGAGTATAATACATACATGGGTGATGCACACAAAAAGGAGGATATTGTGCTCGCATCAGCTTTTGTAAGGCGAGTTTTAAATGAATATCGATTTCTTTGTATTAGAGAGTGCAAAAAAGAAAACAATATCCTTTAGATGTGCTAATTGTATTTCACTTCTAAGTGATCAATAAGTGATCAATAAGATATCCAGAACTGGATCTTAATAACAAACCGATCGAATGTTTCTGGTCATATCTATAAGATAATGTACCAATTTGATTTTTTTTTTATTAAAAAAAGGTTTGATTATTACAAAATCATTTCGCAATTTCTTAATTTAAAGCTTAAAAAGTGATTTGTATTAAAAATTTTTTCTAACAATCAATAATAAATCAGTATCTTTCCATTTTACTCTATGCATTAATTTAATTTTATTAGAAATATTCTGATACCAATTATTTTTCTTCCAACCTTTACTAAAATAATAAAAATGCATAAGATAAAGTGCATTATGTGCAAAATAGGAAAATACATGAACGTGAAAGTAGAAATAAATAAATCAAGAAAATTGATTCAATTTTTCTCTTTTTGTATAATCATTTTGCATAATATCCTATAGATACCAACCTGGTCTTATCTAATCTATTGAAATGTTTAAGAACTATTCAATTAAGTTGATTGCTTTACAATAGTTTTTAATATGTGCAAATGTATATTGTATAGCATTTTATTAATACTTTTATATGTGTGCTTATATTAACTGTTGTATATATGTAGGTACATTAATTAAAAATTGTTTTGTATGTGCACAATTTTTAGGAATATTGTTTATACCATATTCATTTATATGTTATATAGAAAAATAATAATCATGTAATCATTATTCTATTTAATCTCTATCGTCATGTAGTTATTTCTTACGTTATTTGTATATATACAAATTTTCAAAATCCTATAAATTCATCTCATTTCATCATTCTTTTTAAATATCAAGTCATTTTACAATTGAAATTTTACTTTAATGTTTGCAATAGATAATAATTTGTATATGTATATGTTATGTTAAATATGCAGATGTCAATCTATATACATTTTCGTACACTTATATGTTCATTGTAACTTATTATAGAATTTAAATCGATCCTTTATTATTATTTTAAATTTATCCATAAATCATTTTGTATATTTTAATATAATTGTAATAGCTATGTACAACATATAATTTAATATATGTACAATATATGTATGTAGATACTTACATACAATTCATCAATGTTATAAAGTACATGTTATATAATTAAATTAACTTACCTGCCATTGCATTAATCTTTCTCTAGTATCAAATGCTAATACAACAATAACATCTTGACAAATAATTGCAATTGTGTTTGATTCTTTATCTAATGTAAAACCAGATTCAACACCAAGAAAATGTTCTAATGATAATGATGCTTTTGTTTGGCCATGTTTATATCGATCCTTTGAATCTCTATACAATTGTAAATGTAGGCAATCTGTAATAATGATAATAGATAAAATAAAGAATATTATTTTTTATCAATTTAGAATATTAAGAATATAATATAACTGAATGTTAATATTGATTTTAAATGATTGAATGAAATTTATATAATATATAAAATATAAAGGTTTCCATGTTGTTAAAATTATTTTAGTATATAATTAAAATAATTAATGTGACAAATAGAAATATAGTGCTCGTATTCAAACGAATAGTATAAATCAAAAATTAAATTAAGACTTATTGAATTTATAAATCCAGTTTGAGGCTCGATTTTAAACAGATATATCTCTATTTTTTGTTTACTCTAGGTTAAAGCCTAATATGAAGCCGGTGGACCAAAGCTAATCATCTATTCAAGACTATTGTGCGTTATTTATGATAGCATCCTGTTCGAGATGTTCCTACTCATACATATGGAGACCAGAGGAGTTCGATAAACAATCTGATAAAGTAAGGCCAACAACCTGTGTGATCGATTACTTACATATATTTTCGTCGAACAACAAAACCCTCGGATAACAATTATGGTTCCAACATATGGTAAAGACACGGAGAAGTTGAGGAATAAAGTTAGAAAAAAAAATAAAAAAGGCAGTACATATGTGAATCGGGTGCTATAGAATACAACGTTCAAGATTTCTTCAAAAGAAATTCGGGAGATCCTAATTAAATTAAGCAAACGTAATATATATAATACATATGCAGTATCAGAAACCAAAAGGAATAGTAAAGATTGCACAAAATACAAAAATTTTACTTTTATTTATAGTGGCAAGAATAAGAAAGAAACAACATCTGCAGGTATTGCTTTCCTCATTCATGAAAAATTGGAAAGAAATATCAGTTATATACAATATACTAGTGAATGTATGTTACAAGTGCCTTTGAATGGCTTGCATAACAGCAAAACTCACATTATAAGCATCTATGCTTCAGATATCTCAAAAACACCTCCAATGAAAGATGAATTTTATGTCAAACTACAAAAGGTCGTAGATAAGATAGCATCCAGAGATAATAAAATATTCTTTGACTTTAACGCGCTAGTGAAAAATGATATTGTCAATATGGTAAAACATAGATTCAATAAACATGTATTGAACGATAACGGTGAGAGAATGACTCAGTTCTGTGTCCAAAATTAGTTAAGAATAAACAACACTTTTTTTGATCACAAATCGTAACACAAATACACTTTCAGAGAACTAAGTGGTCGTAAATCCACAATAAATTACATTGTCATCAACAATCCATCCGAAATAAATGAATTTAGAATTTTATCTTCAGTAAAAATTGGAACGGATCACAACCTGGTTTTAATGAAAATTTGTGTTTTAATGAAAGGTCCAAACAGAAGTGCAGCATGGAATTGTTCGTAAATTTGTCTACAAAAAGTCTATATAAAAGCCAGTTTGTGGCAAAAATTAAAGAAATAAAGGCTGAATATCGCATGGAATAAGCTTAAAACAAATATATTATGAGAGATGCCTCGAAGCATCTGCAAATTCTATTGGCAAACTTTCTATTAATATAAACAATAAGAACCGAAATTTAAAACAGTGGTTTTGCGAGGAGGTAAGAGTGATGTGCTTCTTTACAAGCCATTTTGTTTAATTCGAATTTATTTTATTTTTAATAACATATATGCAACAATAATTATTTCAAATGATCAATTATAACGCTCAATTATACTCTAAAACCCGAAATTATATTTATACTTTGTTATAATAGCTATAATGTTAATATTATTTTTTTCCATATTTAATAAATTTGCCCCCTACAATCTTATATTGATCCTTATTGAACTTTTTAGTGTTCATATGTTACTCGTATATTATGAGAGACTAACCAATGATTATAATTTATCTTAATATACGTATAATAATAATATATTGGACAAAATATACAACTAAAAAAATAAATAATAAAACTGTTGTTCTCTACCATTATAAATGTTTTTCAGACGAATGAACAGATTTTCATTTTATTTTTTTTCTTTTTCTTGTAATATTCATAACGATTTCATAATGATATCATTATTTTCTTTAACACACATAAAATACATTCATATATACATTCGATTATTGTTACAATAGACCGTTAAATATATTGGTATATGTCCTGGCGAAAATAGTAACCGATTTTTGCCTATATTTTTCTGTCCCATGTCCTATATTGTCCTTGATTTCTCTTTTATATTATTTTCGAATATTTTTATATTTATTTCTTAGATTTTCACAGGATATTAATTTTATTATTGTTTTTGTTTCTGTTTTTCTTTTTGATCCTTCTCACGATTATTATTAAAAATAAAAGATATTTTTCTTGTTTGTAATATAAAAATATTATTATTGATAATATCTTTAAGATTTAATGAAATAGAAAACTATTAGAAAAAAAATTAATTTTTTTTTGCCTTTGATAGTTCTAATATTATTCTCCTTCCTTTTCTTACGTACTAATTTCATAGCTATAACTGATATACATTGTAAGATAGTCTATCGGAAAAGTTAGTTAAGACGAGAGAAAATACAGGGCTAACGAATGGAACAAGTAGACGGAGTGAGTGAAAAACAAAAATTAATCAAAAAAAAAACGGAAATGAAACATTAAAGTAATCTAAGCAGAAAAATAAGCATATAAAAACTAAAGAGAAATTAAAAAGTAAAGAGAATGAATTAAGAAGGATAAAAGAAAGAGATAAAAAGATAAGTAAACATTAAAATATAGTTAAAATATAAAAGATAATAATATTATTATAACTATTATATGAATAAGTTGGAAATGGAACATTAAGTTAAAGAAAGTAGACATAAAAATTTATGTTTGTTTGCATATAATTACAGTAGAATTAATCTTAATAAGAACTAGTTTTGTTAATTGTTTATACTGCCCAAGATAATATTTTACAATAATTTTATAAGGCTTCTGTTATAAGTTCGCCAAAATACAGAAAGAGACTCTATGTTGTTGAAAATATTACATAAGAAAACTTAAAAATCTAGCACGTTCTCTTCAATCTAATTTAAAAAATCTCTGTGGTGTCGTGAGGCAAGTCTAGCTTTGACCACAAATTACTGGTCTCGTCACACATTGTTTCATTCGCCTATCTGTCAGAGAAAATATTAACGGGAACCCCAAATAACGTCAATAATCGCTTGAAAAACTCTTCTGCCTGAAAAACACAACAGGGATTCGGTAAGCGGGAGGCTTGAGGAATAGCTGAAATATTTTCTGTTATTCTAATTCTACTGTATTTCAATATTTTTTATTTAATTTTAATAAAAATTTATATTACGTAGGTGGCAAAATAAAAGAATCATTATAGAATTTCGTAGAAGTTTTAAAGACAACAACAAAAGGCAACCAACTTTTATTAATAGCTCATATCAAACATTAATATTTTATATTACTAGGATCTTTTTTCGTTTATATCTTCTGTCCAATTGAATCTCAATACTCTACAGCGTTCTAAGTAATATATTATAATATTATAACATGTTGTGCGTCTTTCGCATATGTATAGTGAAGAGCCTTATTGTATACTTTAGTCGTTATCTTTTAATATTTATTATATTACTGTGATTATTTTGTAGCACATTATAGATTATTATTAAAAAAAAAACAAAAAAAGAAAAGTGGATATTAAAGTACTTGCGATTAGAAAAAATATGAGCTGTAAAGAAGTGAGTTTATCAAGAAAAGGCAAAAATTAAAATATTAAAGCATAAAAATAAATAGAGTGAAAATAAAAATTAGTACAAATAATTAAAGAAATACAGATGAAACCATTGAAAATAATCATAGTTGTTTAATTACTTTATATTATATTATTGGAGGAACTTTATAGCAAACGCGAGATTTTCTGTAGTTAATTTTATATTTTCAGAAGACATAAGCCAATACAATTTGTGTAGATGCACTTAGAGAAAATCGAAATCAGTACAAATAATTTTTAATATCCTACGTCTATTATAGTGTTTCCGCCATATACTGGATTATTAAAAGTTAGTTACACTTTTCAATTTCCTTCTTAGACACGTCTCACGTCTACTCACAGGATCTTTTATGATTCTAATCCCCACCTACTACCATTACAGCTGCATCTAGGCTCCCGACAAATTGCAATATAGCAGGCACCTCAAGTCGCGAAACTTTCAAAGCCCCTTCCAAAGTACATATATCAATTGTAGGTGAGGAACCTTCTCGCATTAACACAATAAGTGCTCATCACCGTTTCATCTTCTCACAAGCAGAGACGGCTGACCTTGCTTTCCGCCTTGCGCATCCTTTTCAGATAGACTTTTCAGATATGTCTATTAGAACACCACACTAATAGCCTCGAACCTACACGACCGAGTGCGGCCAGTTACCGCCCTCTCGTCCTAAATTTTTTGAGCAACGTAGACCCGGCCGATGATTAATCCTGGCCCGTTCCTAATAATTATTTAAGCCGCGCAGGACTGTTATCCTTAGAAATCCCAAATCATGGCTCCGACCCAATAAAAGTGGTTTCTTCGGATGAGGTCGTTACTGTTCTCTATTCAATAAAGTTCACTTATATTTGAGAATATCACCTTTAATTGCAGGATTTTTTGACATTTTGAGAAAACTTTAATTTAAGTTTGATTTATGTATTTACATTATACGGAATAAAAGCAATTTTCTATAACCAAAATTAAATTTTAAATAAAATATTATTTCTTTCTTTTATTAAAATTAAATTTTGAGTTTTTAATGAAATGGCACACATTTACTTTATTTACATACGAATATTGCAATGTGCTATATACATAGTATGTATAGGTAAAAAAAATTAATTTTCACAATAATAAATTTAATTGAAAATTATTGTAGCAACAATAGAAACGATGAAACCCTATTTGAAATATTTTATAATTGTTTAATCTTTCCTAAACTTCATATATGTAGATGAGTACATACACGTTTAATAAAGTAAATGTATAGTTATATGTGCATAATATGAAT